CACTCTTGCAGGTTTCCATTTCAAAGGCATCCATCAGGCCAGTCAGCAAGTAGCAGTTCATCTTGAGAGCATTGAGATGAGCAACACGGTCTGCATGGCTCAGCCCAGAATCACCCAAGATGGCAGGAAGTTCATTGGAATGATGGGATACCACTGAAGAAAAGCAGAATGTCATGAGCACTCCTCGCCAGGCCCCTCAGCTATCCTCTCTTTCAGAGTTAACGCAGTCATCAGATTACCAAAGATGTGTGCTCACATCTCACCAGCTGTAATGTGGGCAGCCCCCTACAACCCAAACCTGTTCTTTTTACGCTAGCCCATCCTATCCCCATAGCCCCTTGACAGCTCATGGAAAAACTCGCTCAGAGCTGATGCATCCCAAAGATGTATTTTCCAGGGATGCGGAGAAGGGGAATTTTTGTCGGCCTGCCCTTACAGCGAACAGGCACAGCTCAGCATTGTCCACCAAGATTACAGGCCCGTATTACTGGAATGGGCTGAGGGTGCAACCCAGCTGGTCAAGTCACATTAGCCTTTATATCATCACTGAGCTGCCAAAGGAGAGCAACCTCTCCATCACTCCCACTTCAGCTAGAAACAGCAGATACCCACCGCGTGTCATCAGCTCCAGGGCATCCTCCTTGACAGCAGTCCCCACAGCTTGGAAATGGCTACAGAGCAAGCACAGTGCGTGAGAGCAGCAACTAAACACCACCAGCGAGAGGCGAGACGTGCGCTCCCAGGGGTCCCCTCCTCCCCGCGACCTTCCTCTACTCGCTCCCCTTTCCCCGCTCCGTACTCACTGCAGCAAGCTGTACATGGGATCGAAGTGCTGCAGCACTGCCAGCGCGCCCCGCGCCCGGAAGGCAGTCCGGAAGGCTGCGGGGAAAAACGAGAGGGACGGTCACGGCCATGAACCGGGCTAGGCCGGTAACGGAAGACGGGTATTGGGGGCCGCATACCTGTAAGGGCGGGCGGCAGGTCGCGGACGGGCAGCACCTCCTGCACGGTGTACTGCCCAGGGCTGCTCTCTCGCAGCAGATCAGCGGGAACGAGGGGCAAGTGGAACTCCCGGACCGCCCCCATGGCTCCCGATGCAGCCCGCCACCGCCACCACCTACCCGGGCAGGCCCCGGCACACCAAACAACGCGCGCGGGCCGCCAGCGCCTGGCTCCGCCCCCTTGCCCGGCCTATCAGAGCTCAGCAGGGCCAGCGCCTCCCCCAATCAGCGGCTTCCCCGCCCTCTTGGACCGTTAGCGTGACGTCAGTCCCTGTCTCTCTGTTTCCCCTTCCGGCCGCTGCGGTCGATCCGGAAGCGGAAGGACACGGCGGGTCACCGCGATGGCGTTGCTGGTGCGGGCGGCCGGGCGAGCCCTGCTGGGCTGCGCCGCGCCCCTGCTCCGCGCCGAGCGGAGCATTAGCAGCAGCGGCGGGGCGCTGTGCGGGCCAGTGCGGCCTGGCCTCCCCGTGCCGCTGTCCTCGCCCCTGGCAGGCCTCACCCGGCCTATCCGCATCAGGGAACCCCAGAAGCGCAAGCAGGTGGATCGGTGGACGGAAAAACGAGCCTTGTTCGGGGTCTACGACAACGTGGGGATCCTGGGTAAGACACCCCGCCTTGCGCTGTGGCCTGAGGGGAGGCAGGCTGGACACACCTGCGGGCGAACGGCTCTTCCAGCAACGAGCAGGCAGCGAGGACTGGAGCCAGCTGCCCTTGGAACAGCAGGGCCCAGCTTCATCCTCTCTGCGCTTCCCTTCCCTCCCGTTTTCAGGTGGCTTCCAGCTGCATCCGAAGAAGCTCATTGTGGGGCCGTCGTGGCTGCGAGGCTGGCGGGGAAACGAGTTGCAGAGGTGCATTCGTAAGAAGAAGATGGTGGGAGATCGGATGTTTATGGAGGACTACCACAAACTCAACAAGAGGATCCGGTACTTGTACAAGCGTTTCAATCGCACTGGGAAGCACCGTTAGGACTGACTGGGGGGTTGATATATGCAGCATGGTTTTGTGCTGTCGTGGTCAGAATAAAAACAGCTTTCACACAGTTGGGTTTCTGGTGCTTTCTGCAACCTTTACTCTGCATTTCTGGCCTGGTACCAAGGTCCTGCTTCTGCTTCAGGCCTGAGCTCCTCTGTGCAAGTTCTGGCCCCTCAATCATTTCCCTACATATTTCTCACAAATACCTATTCCAGCCTGCATCCTTGAACTTGACCTGAGTGTCCTCTAGTTCTTGGCCATGCTTCTCACACACTTTCAGTCTCTGATTCAGGTTCTGATGTCCTACTTGACAATTTCAGTATGCTCCAGCTTAGATCTTTTTCCTCATAACCGAATTTTCAAGTTAGAGCTAAGAGTGTGTGCTAACATCTTCCTGCTTGCCCCATTCCTCTCCATTTATGTGTAATTAGGTGTCAATGATCCAAATATTAGTTGAAATGCACCAAAACCTGTTTTAAGAACAGGTTTGTCTTTCACACTGGTGATGACTTAACCCCATGCTAATAATGCTTACTGACCAAGTGGCCTTTTGTTTCTAATCTAGTTAGGATTTGCAAAAGAAACTCAGGCACTTAACTGTTTTAAAAAACTCTGGCTTCTAGTTTTCCATAACTGTTACTGGTTCCCTTAGAAGAGAAGTTACGGTGAGTCAAAGCTGGCATCCTGCCAGTCCAGCATCACAAAGACTGTTACACACTTCAGAAACATCAGAATGATGAGCGGGTGTTTGCCTCTCTTCTCCAGGAGTAGTTAATTTGGCTGCTAGGTAATTGCAGAGTTTACCTGCTGAGATGTATCTTGTTATTGAGCGATGCTACTTGGTCTTCCAAAGCACTTGGTTGGAAGAAGCAGGGAATGAAAGGAATTTTAAGTCTTAATCCTTAGGAAGGTTGTAGCCAAAGTCTCTGTTGAAGCACCTGAAGCCCATGTTCTCAGGAGCAAGGTGGCAGACCTGTGGATTCGGGAAATGCATGTGTGTCCAAGCGGAGATGGAGCGAGCACCTGGAAGAGAGCTTGTGGGGGTTATCACATACACAAACCTTGGGTGTAGCAAATCTTTGCCTGAAAGTATGTCAGAAACTGGGAAAGTGTCTGAGAAAGGTACCTGGTATCCTTTGTCACCTCTTGGTCCTTAAGCATCAACTTGGCAAGGGCTCTGTGGGCCAGTAGATCCACAAGCTCCATCTTGTTATTAGCAATGGTTATTGGAACCGTTCTCAGACTGCGGCAAGAAGGTCGCCAAGCTACAGAAATTTCTTCTGTGACTTGTCCCTTGGCAGCTTGGCTGAAGGCACAGCTTAAAAACCTGCAGTTCTGCTGAGGCTAGTGCTAGGCTGCTCCTTAACCCTTAACAGTCCTACCTGCAAACCATCTGCTCTTGTCTCAACCTTGTATTAAGTCTTTGCCTTCCTTGAAGCCATGGTCTTTTGGTTCCCAGGCTGTAATTAGTAACGTAGTCATTTGTATCTACTGATCTATTAGATCTGATGTAAAAAAAAGCAAACAAAGTTTTATTAATGGTCTGTATCACCTTATGAACTACCTGAAAGGAGCAAGGATGTGGCTGGTCTCTTCTCCCAAGTTATAAGTGATAGGACAAGAGGAAATGGCCTCAAGCTGTGCCAAGGGGGGGTTTAGATGGAGATTAGGGAAAATTCCTTCCCCAAAGGGTACTCAGGCATTGGAACAGGCTGCCCAGGGCAGTGATGGAGTCATCATGCGTGGAAGTGTTCATACACTGTGTAGATGAGGGCCTCAGTGACACGCGTTAGTGGTGGCCTTGGCAGTGCTGGGGAGCGGTTGGACTGGATAAGCTTAAAGGTCTTTTCCAACCTGGTTGATTCTATGAAGTGAAAAGGCAGCTCAGCGTAGGTGCAAACCTCTACCTGTCACTGTACTCACCACACCAAATGCTGCACGGAGACTTCCTGTGCCAGTACTCTCCTGCCTCCTTTTCTGTCCTGAACAGATGCATCCTCCCTTCTGATCCAGCAGGCTGCTTCTCAACATCTTTTGAGGGCAACACTTAACTGTCCTTGGGGCTGCTGCTGGAGCCTGGCTACCCCAGCGGGCAGCACAGGCTCCAAGACACCTACTGTGGGGACTTGTTGGGTCTTCCTCTTACCCCCTGCTCCATGGCAGGAGCCGGCCAGTGGCTCAAACAGAGCCAACACACACACTATGGACCTGTAACGGCACGGGCTCGAAGGTGAAACCGGATGGGGCAGGTGGCCATGCTCAGGCCCTGCGTCACCTAAAAGGAAGCCCTCACTCAGAGCTACCGGGACCGCTGGCGATGAGGGACGCACCGCGCACCGCCCCAGCGCCGCTACTCACCGGCCCGGCCGCTGCCCGTGGGGGCGGGCTCTGCTCCTATTGGGTGTCCCAAGGCTCAGTCACAGCTGCTAGTCCTCTCAAACGCCCGGAGCGAGGGAGAGGGCGGGGCTCGGCTCAGTCACCGTCTTCGCAGGGCACCTCCCTCTGCCAGGGTCGCGGAGCGCTGATTGGTTGCGGCGTAACACAAAGGCTGTGCTGATTTGCTGCTTGCGGCCACTCCTTCCCGCTGCCACTTCTGATTGGCTGTTTGCTCTTAGGGGCGGGGCCTCGTCTTCTATAAGTCTTTTTCCTGTCGGGAGTGCCGGTGCGGAGTTGGTTGCGGAGTGCTCCGGGGTGCTGGTCCGGTTCGGAGATGTGAGTGTCTGGCTGCGGCGGGCGGAGAAGAGGAGGGAGGGAGAGATGAGGGCGGGGGATAATGACGGGCAGGCCGGCCGGCTGCTGAATGCAGAGCCCCTGTCCTGGCCACTGCTGGTGGAGCCGAGTGGCGCATTGCAGCAGCTGCCTCCTTCACTTCCTTCCCCCGGGCTCCTGCTCCCCCGACCCTCCCCTTGCTCTGGGCTCTCCCCTGCTCCCGGTTCGGGGGGCTTCAGGCAGGTTGCGGACCCTTGGGGCTGCTGCTGGTGCCGGGCAGCGGGGTTCAGATGGGTTTGGGGAGTAGGGTGCTCTCTCTTAAGCATCTCGTTAGGTTTTCTCTTTGCTCATATGTGTTTCCCTAGGTCTGACCCAGCTCAGCAACCTGCTCCCGGGGCCCCCGAAGGGGGAGCTCCTGGTGGGGCCCCCGCTGGGGCACCCCCCAATCAGAGCAGTAACCGTCGACTGCAGCAGACGCAGGCCCAGGTGAAGGAGGTCAGTAGCTCTGCCAGCCGTGTGCTGGCTTCCCATCAACTGCCTGGACTCTGCTACTGCTGTGCAGTAGTGATGCTCTTGACAGGCGCCTGCTGCTGAGGGGGTGGCTGCTCTTGTTATGCCAGTGCCAGAAACGCAGTAATAATGTTATCGTGGTGGCAGACCTATAAAGAGGCTGGAGGAGAGATTGCTTTATGTTTAAAAGCAGCTTTATCCCAGCTATGACTTCTAAGGAGCAGACCTGTTAGATTTTTTTGGTATCTCCTGTAGCGCATCCAGAAGAGGTCTCGATTCCTGCCCTTTTGCTTCAAGCGAACAGTCTGAATGTGTTGACGTGCAGGGACCCTTGCCTGACTTTCCAGGGTCGGTGTCTGTAGCGTGGCTGCTGGCCTGCAGTAACGCCTTTATGCCTCACTGGGGCAGCCACATGTAGCTGTAAATCATTGCAATAACCAGAGAGTAGGCCTACGATTATTCTCATGATGGGGGTGGCTGAGGCTTGCTGCATTTGGGAGCTTTAAAAACAGGTGAGAATGCGGGGCTGAAGACCTCGTTTAAGTGTACTTGAACTGATACTTTAACGGGGGTGGGTGTGTGTGTGTGTGTGCAGAGGGAGGCTAATTTTTCCTCTCTTCAGAGCAGGCAGTGACTTGAAAGCCATGTTTTATCCTAGCCTTTTTTCCCTTGTTTAGAGCTTTTGCTTATTAGCATCTCCATGTTAGATTCCTGTCTCTTATTGTTTTCAACTCTCTTTACCAGTACAACTGCTCCTACTGTTCTTCCTTCTGCAGGTTGTTGATATAATGTGTGTAAATGTAGACAAGGTGCTGGAACGAGATGAGAAACTGTCAGAGCTAGATGACCGGGCAGATGCACTTCAGGCTGGTGCCTCACAATTTGAAAGTAGTGCAGCAAAACTCAAAAGGAAGTACTGGTGGAAGAACTGCAAGGTGAGCTTCCCATTGCCACGATCTCCTTCATCAGAAGAACATTGGGCTAGTCTTCTCCAGAGCTTTGAGAGGACAGTTGGGGTGTAATAATGATTTCAAATGGTTAGGATTTTTTCAGTGTGGAAAGACTTTGAGGTCTTGGCTGTCCTACCTTCAAGGTCTGGCTTATGGTCCTTGGCTGTCTGAGAAGATGTGAACTTGTCAGTCTGGTCTGAGTATTACTCTTTAACAATCTCTCTCTCCAGATGATGATCATGATGGGAGTGATTGGTGCCATTGTGGTGGTGGTGATTGCAAGTAAGTACTGAAAAGCTCAGGATCAAAAGTGAAGAAGCACCAACTCTACAGTACCTTAAACTCTTTCTTTTAGATTTGAAATCTGGAGGGTCTTGGTTGTATAAGTATTAACTTCAGTCCTTGGGGAAGGGAGGTGGTGGTGCTGGAACTCCTGCACTTACACTAGAAACTGTATACCTTTACATAGTAACAGAAGGACCTGGGGGTGGCCATCATTGTAGAAGTGGGAAATTCTGTCTGCCAGGTCAGGTGAACCTGTAAGTATGAGGGGTTTTACCCTGGAGTGGGTGGGTTGGCAAGTTCCTTCCCTGGTGGGGAATTTGGAGCTCTTTGAGGGACCTTTGGTATAACTTGCCCTCTTGTTCTTTCCTTTTTCTTTCCGTATTGGTTTGTCTCCAGTCTACTTATTTACTTGAATGCACCTCCTTCAGTCTGCAACCTACTGTCCTGTCACCTTGCCTGTCTCTTCTTATCCCTGAACCTTTCCTTCCCTTCCACCTAGCTTCTTCATTGATTTCTTTATTGGTTTTAATTAGTCTTCTCTATATGACTCTGAAGCACTCTACTGAACATGGTTAGCCTTAAACAGCTGCTGCAGCTTTAGAGTTTAGAGGAAAGAGAAGTAAAGGAGGAGCAGGTAGCTATTGCTCCTGCTCTTCTGTAGGGAATTTCTTTGGTTTATTTTTGGCTGTTTGTCAACTAGTGCCTGTGTGGATTCTAGCAAAATAAGAATGCCTTAATGCAGTGCCTTTAGGGATGAAGGACTTCAGCATGTGAGATTCTTTAGTGTTCTGCCTAAAAAGAATGGCAGCATGACTTAAGCTTTTCATCAAGCTTCTGAAATAAAGGCTAGTTTGCATTGGCCAGTACTGAGCCATCTGACCAGGCTCTACAGTGATCTAAATTTCTCTAGTCATGGACAGATGAGCATGAGAGATTCTGCCTGTCCTTATTTTCAGATGACTTGCTGTATGAATATGGCCATTTCAGTTATGATAAAGGAGAGCCTACATGATTACCTCAGTCAAGTGCAACTGACTGCACACAGTGAAGTAAGGAGAGGTTTTTTACTGTCTAGAAGGCAGGTATGGGAGTAAAATCTCCTGCCAGAAGGAGCAAAAGAACAATGGTAAGGAGTCTAGTGCAGGGTGGAAAATATTCCTTTTATCTATGCAGACACAAGCCAGGATGCTGTGGCTTTCTACTAGCTTGTAGCTTTCTAGGAGACTTTGGGGTAGTGGCAGAATAGGAATGGGTATTCTGCTTTTGTTACTGGTTGAATGTCAAAGGAAATCCACTCTGTAGCAGATGGGGCTGAAAGAGCCTGGAGGTATTCCAGATGACCCTGAATGAGCCACACAGCATTCTGATTAAGAATACCTGTTCCATTTCTGCTGCCACAAAGCCCTAACTTCCAGCAGGAGTTAGAAAATCCTTGGAATGGTTAGCTAGGGATTTGGAGGGAAATGCTGCTCTGGGCATAGATATTGCAAAGTGACAATGGATGTCCCATTTTGTAGGCTTAGATCTCTATAGAGATCTTGACTATCAAACTGAAATCCTCCTACTTCCTATGGGCTCTCTTTAATTTACATCCAGGGTGGTCTCTGCTGGAAATAAACTTGCAGCACGGAATGCTGTGGCTTTCTGTAAGCAAGCCCCTTGTTCTCCTCCATCACAATTAACAAGAGTTGTGAATTGCTTGAATGTGCCCTGTTCCTCAGTTTCTGCAGTCTTCTGAGGAATGTGCATCTTTTCTTTACAAGCTGAGCTGCAGCTTATAATTAGACTGGAAAGAGGGCACTTCTTTAATTTAGGAAGCTCTACTTTGGGTGTGTCTAGGCTTAAGGGAATGTGAGAGGAGAATAAGAGGAGAATATCAATGGAGTTCCCAGATAGGAGTGAAGTGCAAAAGATGGGAGGAGCAGATGCTTTTTGTTTCATTGGGTGTGCCAGGGAGGCCACTTTCCTCCTCACAGGGCATCTGGGAAGGGGCGAGGTTTTGCATGCTTACTTCCATGGCCCAGCATTTCATTTGCATCGAGTTCATCTCCCTGCAATTCCATCCCTCTCCACCTTGAGTGAGGGCAGAGATGAAGATGTGGAATGAAGCAGCCCTTGTCCCCTGAGCACTTCCCTAATTCCCTGTGGAACTGAGATGTGATGGATGGTCAGAAGTGCGTCTACTGAAGAGGAGCCAGGGCCTGCTTGCGCTGCTTACTGCTGTCATTTTAGGGGGTGGGCATACAAGCTTGAGGACCCCAGATGAGAAATTTTCTTGAACTCTTCTAAACAAGCCTTTGGTGCCTCATACCTCCTGTTCCTCTGGGGGGGCTGAGGTCCCCATAGGCTGTCTCTTCCGTTTCTTTCTCTTAGATGTTGTATGTTGCCTTCTCTTCTGCTCCCTTTCCTTTCCTTTGTGTCTTTGTGCATGGGGGTAAAAAGATCACCAAGGCCCTCTGAGTAAAATCAAGGGACTCTGCTGTCCGTAGCATTACAGCCACTCATGCACGTGCAGTTTTATTTCCTTCCTCTAGAAAAACAACTGTGATTTCCTCTGGCATGTTGTAGTTATCAGCTCATGTACTTTAAATGGTCTCTAAAATACACAGTTCACCACCTTATTGAGTCTGTCTGGTCTGTCATTGGGTGGAATGGGTTTGGATGCCAAGCTGGTTTTGGGACTTCTTTTTCTGTCTGTCACTTCTACACATACACCTGAACTTCTGTCCCTCAAAGCAGTGGCTGGGTTTCTATTGCGATGATGGTAGCTGCACTTGTACTGGAACCTCATACTGGACTGACTCTATGTCAAGTCTGTAACAAGATGTATGAACCAGTAGCTCTGCAGGAAGAGGTTGCCCAAGCCAGCTCTGCTTCCAGCTGCCAAATGTCCAGCCAAGATGTGATGCATGGGGAGGTAGTTCCCTGAATGGGAGGGTGTGTTACTGGTAGCTCTAGGCTTCTTCAGTGTATGTTGCCTTTGGGTTTCAGTAACCTATTGTCAGATACTTAAACACAGAAAACAGTTGTATGTTAATATTGGGGTATAAGATCATCTAGTTCCAAGACCTCCAAGAGTAGGATGCTGTTTACAGCCTATGGAACATGGCTGGACTAAAGGCAAGTGCCTTGTTTTGCTTCACTGTACACTTGAAACTCATTAAAAAGAAATGCCCATTGGAAATGCACTTTGTCCAGTGCAGGCTTATTTTAAAATGAAGTATTTGTGCTCTTATCTGCCCCTGTGGCTTGTGCTCTCCTTATGATCAATCATTGTCTAGTCTTAAACATCACCAAAATTATACCAGAAAATGTATGGTCAATTTGAACCATAATATGGTGAATTTGGAGCAGTGCAGATAGGCTGTTTCTTTCAAGACAAAAGCCTTGCTGGGAAAGGAGGGTGTCTGGGTTGGCTGGTGGATCAAAGCACCATGTACAGCTTAAACTACATCACAGGTACAGCCTGCACAACCTGAATGAACTAGTCATGCTACAATTCCTGCCAAGTTGTGTGTTGTCTTCCTGTTACTTCTCAGCCTTATTCATGTAAGGAGACAGGAAAAGTTCTTCCTTGGAACAGATGTGCGTCCAGACTGATTACAGTGTCTCTGAGTCCTTAGCCAAACGTATGGACTTGAGTGCTTTGCTTGCTAAAGCTGGCAAGCTGATGTGGAGCACAAAGCTGGGGCTGAACATGCTGTGGAAAGTTGCCCCAGGGCAGTGCCCAACTCAAGAACCATGTTGTGTGTGTTTGCAAAGAGTTGTATGTCTAACCATAAATCCTCACGTGGCCATCCTCTAAAGTATCAGCACTGCTGCTGTTCCTGCAGTCTTACCCTGAACAAAGCACGACTGTAAAGGTCCACTAAAAGCAAGGCCAAGGCTTTGGTGGAGTAATTCTTTATGTGTCTAATTAGAAATTCAAGCTCTGTCTTTAAACATATAGCTCCTGTTTCAACACCTTCAGATTTAGCGGGGGAAATGTCTCAACTATGCTGTTCCTAAATGTCTTAAACCTTCATGTTTTCTAGATGCTGTAGGCCTTGCTCTGGCCTTTTCTGAGGTTCCAATGCACTGGTCAAAGTAGGATGCATTCTTTCATCAGTGGGGGAGTTTTGTTTTCCTTGTGTCAGCTGTAAAGTAACTCGATGGTGGGAAAGACTAAAGACTTCAGAGTAGAAATGTAGCAACACTTGTTTAATGGACCTGGCTTCCTTGTGAAGTGACAGAGGTCCCTGCTCTGATGTAGCCACTGGGGTTAAAAGTCTTAACTTGGAGAAGCAATAATGGGGATGTACAGAGGTTTTATCTTTTGTTCTGATCTCGCAGAGTAATTATTTACTTAGAGATATAACAGATAAGGATATAGGTTTTGCAAAATAGGCAGCTCAGCCGTGTCTGTTGGATACATTTCAGCCCAGTGTTTCTCCTAGGTATCCTACAGTGCTTCCTCTTAGAAGCAGTTGAGTTCCTCCACAAAACTTCCCCTGTTTACAGGCCAAAATAAAGTTGCATTTCAGCCTCCATGCTCCTGATAATCTTTTGACTTGTTTTGCCAGAGACTGAGTCTTTCAGAACGTACTTATTTGTGCCTTGGGTTCCCAATATGAACAGCCCAATATCATTCTTTCCTTTGTTGCATAGACCCATTAAATGGTTCTTGCTGAGGCTGAAAGGACCTTTTCATGTTCTCTCCTGCCAGGCTTTTCCAAGAGTCCTTGTACTCTTCTTAAGTAACTGTACTGTTTTGCCATAATCTCCAGTTACTAAGCTTTTTTTAGTTCGCTGCCTTTAAGCATGTAATCAGAAGCTGAAGGCTCTTTCTTCTCTCATGTTTACAAGACCCCTTTAAATATTGCACATTGGTAAGTATAAAGAACTGCAAGACTGAACATAGCCATTCTGCTTGTGTGTTCCTGAACTCCGTACTTCTGCTCTGTCCTTTCACCAACAGCACTGCTATCCTATTCGTTTCTTAATGTAGCACATCTCCACCCCTTGGATTTTCTTGAACCTGTCCCAAAGGCCTGGTAACCCTTTACTCAAATTCCTTCTGGGATTGACCTCAGCCTGTGCAGACAAACCTTGCACTTATCTGTACAGCTTATCTAAGCACTCCAGCGAGCAGAGTTTGCTTGTTAGTTCTTCTAAATGTGTTGCTTATAGAACCATAGATTTGTTAGGGTTGGAAAGAACCTTACGATCATCTAGCTCAAAGCCCCCTTTGATGGGCAGGGACACCTTCCGCTAGACCATGGTGTGAAAGGCTCTGTCCAACTTGGCCTTGAACACTGCCAGGGACAGAGTATTCACCACTTCTTTGGGCAACCTGTTCCAGTGCCTCGCCACCCTTACAGTAAAGAACTGCCTTATATCTAACCTGAACTTTCCCTGTTTCAGTTTAAACCCATTACCCCTTGTTCTATCACTACAGTCTCTGATGAAGAATCCTTTCCTGGCATCCTTGTAGGCCCTCTTCAGATACTGGAAGCTGTTCTGAGTTCTTCATACAGGAGGTGTTCCATGTATTTCTTCTGTTACCTTAATTCTTATAGGAAAAGAAATATAGTTTGGGTATCTATCAAACTGTGACTGTCACACTGTGAAGGAGCAAGTTTTCAGCACACAGCAGGGGATGACTGCCCATCCTTGCATTCCCTGCCTTCTCAAGCATCCTGTGCTTAGTTTCCCTTAGTTTTCCCCCTTCCTGGAAGGGCTGACCCATTCTTTCCTTTCTTCCAGTACTTTCAGTTCCCCCAGTCTCCCTGTACTTTAGATTTTCTTAGAGTTTCTCAGATGCTCCAAATCCATCTGAATTGGAGCCCTCAATCTTCAATGTCCCTAGATTTCCCAGACTGTACCCCTTTTTTCTGCTATCACATGACTTCCAAATGCTCTTAACCCTTAATCAACTTGCAAATGCCTGCCCCCACTGCAGTCCCACAGACACTGGGGCTTTTATACCCTGTCTCCATGGGTTCTTCCACATCTTGGCAGAGCTCCCTTCTCCTTCCTTGTATTTCAACACTACCAAACGCTTCCACAAATCCTCCTTATTGTGTTTAAGCTCCTAAACACTCATCCCTCTTCTTCTGTGGTTTCCCCATCATGTAAACCTTCTTTTTCTCCTCATCATTCTTTCTCTTAAGATTGAGGAGCTACTCACTTCTGTGCTGCTTACTCCTGCAGAACAAACCACTCTAATATTCCAACTTATCCACAAAGTTAGTTTTCTCCTGCACTTCCCTTCCCCCTTCAAGCATTTGTATCCTTACTTCCCTGCCTTCCCCCAGCACGACAGAACCTCTCAGTCCAAAAAGAAGCAGCTTGCTTTTCTTCAGTGTCCTACAACCTACAGTTACTCCTTGCATGTTTTCCATGTCCTCCAGATAACGGTGCTATGCCTCTAACATACCTACAACTCCTAAGCATTTACATTCAACTTTATCCTCTAGTAAAAATTCACCCCACCTCAGACCATTAGTTTGTATTTTTGCTGAGTTACAAATCCCTCTAAACACCTACTTTTCCCCATTTTCCTCTAACATTTGACATTCTCAATGGAAAAACTCCATTTTCTGCACTCTCATGTTGGCACTGCTGGACTTTCCTGTTGTTTTCAGCCATGTTGAGCTGATTCATTTGTGGTCTACAAATGGATCAGCTACATAAATACACCTACATAAATACAGGGATCCTCTGGGGAGGATCACCTGCTTTCTCACAAGATGGCAATTTTTGCACTGACCCTCAGGACAGGGAGAGCTAGTCTGTTTACCAACTTGTCATGCAGCTTCTTGTTTGTACAGGCTGGATTTAGAGCTACCCAGAACGGGGCCGTTACTTTGAGTTCATCAGTCAAAGCTCCTGGTTTGCATTTTGACACGTTTCCAGAAGAGAGAGAGAACATGGTGCAAACTTTCCCTAGGGAATGCATCACCTTCTTCTACAGCTATATTTCTGGATGCTGTTGAAGAGAACATAATGTGTCAAGTAGTTATGCCTCTGATTAATCTTCCTTTACAATTACCCACTTGACTAGGCGTGATGCAGTGGGTCATATCAATTTTATGGTTATTACAAACTACTGTGTGATGTGAAGAATCATGTCTTCCTCTTTGGATATTGAGGAAAGCTCATGCTCACTATGTGAATCATCATACATTTATGGTATGCAAAGGCCATTTGAGAGGTTCCACCTGTTCTTTCTCCTGTCTTGAGTTGGAGGTGGTTTTGTGAAGCAAACAGCTTCGGTGTCAGGTTTTTGTTCATTCATGTGCTAGAAACTACCTAAGGTGGCAGTCTGTAGTACTTGAATTCAGGACCAGGCTCTGGATGCAACATCCGAACTCCTCTGTTTGCCTTATTTTAATTGTGACCAAAGTTGGTTTTGCTTTAGCCACTAACCCTAGCTTTTAACTCTGCTCCTTGGGCAGCGTTTTTACAGAACATGAAAGTCCCTTTGTTAAGTCAAGATTGAGATTTCATTCTTTCATTACTCACTCTCTTCTACATCCCTTAAAATCACCCATAAACACACAAAGTGGATTTTTTCATCAAGTTTGTACAAGTCCTGATTTCTTCCAGTGGTGGCCCCCATGGGAATATGTGCTCCCAT